ATATGTATGTATTATATAAGTATATAATATATTTATGTTTGTGTATAATATATAAATATGAAAATATATAAATATAAAAATATAATAAATAACATATAATATATAAATCTATATTTATATATGCATATACAATATATACTTATATTTATATATGTGCATGTTTATTTTATATTTAAACCAATTAACTTTTTATTGAAGTATAAGAGTGAATGTGAGTGTAATCTCCAAGAATTTTTATAAACTGAACACACTCATGCAACTGGCATCTAGATCCTAGGTCCTGAATAAAAAAATAGAACATTGCCATCATCCCAGATACCTCATCATTCCCTTCTAATCAATGCCTCTCCCCTACTAGAGAGAAGATTTCTATAAGCATAAGTTAGTTTTATTTATTTTTGTACTTTATACAAATGAATTCATGCAATATGTACTCTTCCATATCTGGCTTTTTTCATCCAACATTATATTTGTACACTGTTTAATTTCATTCCAATTTAGTATTACATTGCATAAATGTGCCAAAATTTATTTATGTATTCTAGTATTTATGGATATCTGGGTAATTTCCAGATTGAGACTATTATAAACACCACTGCTATGAACATTCTAGTAGATGCATACACATGTCCACATACCAAAGCAAGGAATTACTGGGTCATGGGGTCTTCATATCTACAGTTTTAATAGATACTGACATACAATTTACAAAATTGATTGTACCAATCAACACTCCCCTGAGCAGTGTATAAGAGTTCCTGTTGCTCCAAATCCTCACTCGCACTTGGTATATTCTGTCTTTTTAATTTTATTCTTTCTACTATTTGGACAGTAGTGTTGCACTGTGAATAAAATTTGTGATTCCCTGATAATGAATGATGTTGAGCACCTTTCACCTCTTTTTCAAGGTATCTAAGTCCTCTTCTCAATTTTTCCATTGCATTGTAAGTCCTTATTGTTTTAAATTTTAAACCACGTGAATATGGTTTTAAAAAGTAAATTTAAAACTAATGTAATTAACAATACAAATAAATTCCATAAAGTTCTATGCTTCATGTTCTCTCCTTCTTAGAGATGTATATTAGCATTTGAAAAGCTCTGAAAAGTTCTACATTTTTCACCACCACAAAACAGTGTAGAGAAATGTTTTTTCCCTTCTGATATAATTTTCATGGAATTAACAATTGTCTCCTTCTTTTTACTTGTATTTTTTTACAATTCATTCTCCAATTTTATCCCAGATTTCATTAGATCTATCCAACATCTATATAATTTCTCAAATACTCAAATTAGATAATCTATCATTTCAATTACTGTAACTACTGTTTTCTCTTAAAGTCTGCCATCTCCCTGTTCAGTGAAAATGGGTTGCTCTCCAATTCTGTCATATTTCTCTCATTCTGGAGTTTCCCTTCTTAATTTCCTGGTCCTGTTTTCTGGATCCCGTGTCTTTCTTTTTTTAGGCCTACTCCCATGTTTTGCTGAACACATTCTCTAGGAGATTTCTTTAAAAAAAAAAAAAAAGGAAATGGAATGAAAGTATTTCATCTTTGTATATGTGAAAATGTTTTTATTCTGCCCTTATATTTGACAGATAGTTTGACTATAGAATTCTAAGTTGGAAGTTACTGTCCTTTAGAATACTGAAAAAATTTCACTTCATTATATTTTAGGATAACAATGACTTAGTAACATTGTTAAGAAATCCAATGCAATTCTAATTCCCATTCCTTTAATTTTTGTTTCTGCCCGTTGAAAACGTTTAGAATCTTCCCTTTATTCTTAATGTTCTCACCTTTTTAATGATGTGCTTTAATGTAGGTATTTTTACTTGGTGGGCCCTTTAAATACGAAGACACCTGCCCTGGCAAAATTTTTTAAACTATTATTTTGATCATTTCTTCTCTGTTTATGCTTTGTTCTCTTTTTCTAGGACTCATGTTTTTAATTAATTGACTGGATAAATATGTCAGGCCTCTGAGCCCAAGCTAAGCCATCATATCCCCTGTGACCTGCACGTATACATCCAGATGGCCTGAAGCAACTGAAGAACCACAAAAGTGAAAATAGCCAATTCCCGCCATAAGTGATGACATTCCACCATTGTGATTTGTTCCTGCCCCACTCTAACTGATCAATTGACCTTGTGATACTCCTTCTCCTAGACAAGGAATCTCAGGAGCTCCCCACTGAGCACCTTGTGACCCCCGCCCTTGCCTGCAAGAGAAAAGCCCCCTTTAACTGTAACTTTCCACTACCTACCCAAATCCTATAAAGACTGCCCCACCCCTATCTCCCTTTGTTGACTCCTTTTTCGGACTAAGTCGGCCTGCACCCAGGTGATTAAAAAGCTTTATTGCTCACACAAAGCCTGTTTGGTGGTCTCTTCACACTGACGCGCATAACAGAATGAACGGATAGGAAAGTTTTCTGAGTACTTTTTAAGAAAAAAGCTTATTGGCCGGTGGCTCAGGCCTCTGCTCCCAGCACTTTGGGAGGACAAGGTGGGCGGATCACGAGGTCAGGAGTTTGAGACCACCTTGGCCAACATGGTGAAACCCCGTCTCTACTAAAAATACAAAAATTAGCTGGGGGCCGGGCGCCTGTAATCCGAGCTACTTGGGAGGCTGAGGCAGAGGAATTGCTTGAACCAGGGAGGCGGAGGTTGCAAAGAGCTGAGATCGCGCCACTACACTCTAGCCTAGGTGGCAGAGCAAGACTCCCTCTCGAAAAGAAAAAAAACAAAAAAAAAGTGTATTAAGCAAGAAAGCACAGAGCATCAGACCATATATTTAGTGCTGAACATTTTATTATAAATGATCAAAAATTTTTAACACACTATCGTTTACAACCTTCCACTATTGTAAAACCTAACATTGCTACTTTCATTTCAGGTAATGCAAAAATACGAGACGCATTAGCTGTCTGTAGGCAGAAATCTGTTCGAGTCATTCCTTATTACTGAAGCCCTAGAATTAATTAAACATCTAGTATGGACTTGGTATTGTATATAACATTTGCACTCATATCTTACAAAATAGTCACCTAAGTAGAAAGGTGTTCAAAGCAGCAAGATGGAAAAACGTTTGCAGTCTTTTTTGGTTGGCATGAAACACTGACTGCATTCCTCCCAGATTTATAAGAAAGAATTATTTGCAGTCTTACCTGGAGTCAGAGGGATGGACTCTCTCAAGGTTATTTTTCACTCTCTGCATATATATACTTACGGAAGTAAGAAAGAAGAGGGAGAAAGGCAGATCCCACATAACAGCGGTTAAACACCTGAACTTGCTCCACTATGACAGGGTTTATCATCCATCTCTCAGTCCTGAAGTGACTGGAAATATGGAAATTGGAGTCCAGGTAGACAGGTGAGAGTACAACCTCTTAAGTGTGGGGCCCTCGGAATTCACAATACCCCCAAATCGCTTCCTGCGCAGGCGGAGAGTCGGGAGGGAGTCAGAAAGCAGAACCCCGAGCCCCCTAAGAAAGACCCCAGCCGGACGCTGCAGCTACCGGGATTGGCAACTTCCGGAAGACCTGTGGCCCAGAGAATTTTGGCGGTCGGGGTGAGGGTGAGGGTGAGGGTGGGGGGTGGGGGAGGAGTGGGGAGAGGGGTGGGGGTGAGGGTGGGGGTGGGAGTGGGGGGAGGGGGTTGGCGGCTAACCAATCCGACACCCGCCAGCAGGCTGAAGAGAGGGGCTTCCCAAAAGCAAAACTTTCCCAAACCTGGGGGATGGGAAGAGAAGACAAAAGGAGCGCCTCTGGCTCCCTTTCCCACTTCCCGGCCGCCCGCCCCAGCCCTCGGCCTCGGCTGCGCGACCCGGGCGGAGGATCCCGGCCGCAGGCCGAGGCGAGAGCCAGGCGGAAGGGCCGCGAGCGGGCTGCCCCTCTCCCCGCCTTGCTGTCCGCAGCTGACGTAGCCTGCGAAGTTTGGGGAGGGAGGAGCTCAGGCGGCCTGAGCTGGTGGCGGCGCGCGCTGGGGAGGGCCGGCCAGGGCGGCGAGAGAGGAAGCTCCTTCGCGGCGCTACGGCGTTGGCACTAGTCTCTAGAAAAGAAGTCAGCTCGGGTTCGGAGAAGCAGCGGCTGGCGTAGGCCGCCCGGGGAATGGGCGCCCTCGTGACCTAGTGTCGCGGGGCAAAAAGGGTCTTGCCGGCCTCGCTAGTGCAGGGGCGGATCTGGGCTCCCGAGCGCGGCAGGGGAGCCTTGGGAGCCGCCGCAGCAGGGGGCACCACCGGAACCGGCCTGAGCGCCCGGGACCATGAACGGGGAGGCCATCTGCAGCGCCCTGCCCACCATTCCCTACCACAAGCTCGCCGACCTGCGCTACCTGAGCCGCGGCGCCTCGGGCACTGTGTCGTCCGCCCGCCACGCAGACTGGCGCGTCCAGGTGGCCGTGAAGCACCTGCACATCCACACCCCTCTGCTCGACAGGTAGGCAGCCAATGGGGTTCCCGGGAAGAGCCCCCAACTATCCTGCATCCCCTCAAGCCCCCTGACAAGTGGGCTTTAGAGCCCAAATGGCAGTGACCGCTTGGGGCCGGCCCCACCTCGTCACCTCTAGGCAGCCCTTCAAGCTTGGGAGGTAGGGAGCACCGACCCTTCAAGCTCTGGCACGGTAGGGAGCACGCACTTCTCTGGAGATGCAGCAGTTGCATTCCTCCACGCATCTCTCCATTTCCCTTTCTCTCCTTCCCTCTTACTCCGAAGCGTTCTCTCTCCGTACTCCAAAAATCAGCAATCACTGCCTAACTCTAAACGCCGGGTTTATTGAAATTGGTGTGTGTTTATATGTAGTGGGTGTGGGTTTTGCTTGCTTTGTTTTTTCCTTATTTTTGAAATCGGGCTGTAGGGCTGCAGAGTCCAGTAGGTAGCCCTTAGCCACAGGTGAGTACTGAGCACTTGAAATGTGCCCGTCCGAACTGAAATGTGACCTAAGTGTAAAATACCAGAGTTCGAATGCTTAGTATTTATTTTTTAAAACTTGTAATATTTTATTAATATTTTTTATTGATTATATGCTGAAATGATAATATTTGTGATATCTTGGGTTAAATATAAGATTAAAATTCATTTTAATGTGTTTCTTTTTACTTTATGTGGCCATGAGAAAATTTTAAATTGTATGTGGTGGTTTTCACATTATATGTTTATTGGACAGAGCTGCTTTAGAATCTAGGATGTTTTGCTTTTTATTGTTTTTGTTTTGTTTGTGGTTTATTATGTGTTATCAAGAATGTTTTATATCAAACTCAATACAATTCAGTTTCTCCCACTCTCAGTTTCTCTCACGGGAAGACTGTTAAGTAGAGGAAATGTGTGCTATTTTTGCCACAATAAATTGAACCAAAAGACTGTTAAATGGCCAGAAATTGTAAATGGCTTTCACTTACTGGTTTGTACAGGTTTTAAGGGAAGGTTAACATTAGTTTCTGTTTTCAGAAGAACATTACAACCACGTGCCATAGACCTGTAACTGTGTATTAGTCAATGGGTCTGGTCACTAGTCTTGTGTATTTTACTTCCTACAGGGATTTAACTAGGCCCAGCATTCAGTTCTTAGTGAGTTAACATCCATGATTACAACATTCTCTTCTCCTCCTCCTATATCTAATGTGAAAATACGTCATCACAGATGCCTGATTGGCCAGAAGCTGTGAGTATCCAGTATCAGATAAATTCCTCAGCTTCTGCCCTGCCAAAGTTACTGGATTTTCACCTACCTGTGACTTTTCTTCATTGTCTCACTGTCAGGCTTGGATGGCCTAAATGGCACAGGAGATCTGGGACACCTCTAGAGCTTGTTTCCACTTCTTTTCTATCATAATCCAGATTCAGTGATATACAAGGTGTGGTGTCTGTTTACTCTGGGCCTTATGTTCTGTGGCGCAAGTGCTGGGCAAGTGTGTATATGTGTCTGTAGTCAACTTTTAAGGGTGGTGGTTGGTTAGAGAGGATGGATATATGTTAGAACCAGTTATGCAAACACTGTATGGAAATATAGCACTGATGGACCCAATAGGTATTGAAAAGCCAATTGATCCTCCCACTTTGGGTGCTGCTTCTCAGGATTTTAGTTTATCTAAGCTTTGTACAGTTTGGGGACCAAGAAGTGAAGAGGGAGTTTCTTTCCCATACTCATGAACAATTTTCATAGTCTAAAATTCTTCACTGAATTGGGTAGGAAATTAATTCTGTCTTCGAGGAAGCCATAAGACCAGTGAAACACTCTGGCATTACTGCATCACATTCTTTTTTCCAATTTGTTACTTAAGATCTTATCAGTGCAGTATTTATGTAGTCTGAGCATTAGACAAGGCTATGCAGTTGACTCACTGGTGTCTCTTTCCTCACTTATAAAATAGGAATAATAAATACATGTGTGTCTCGGGCTATGAAGAAGAATGTTTGCATTGTTCTTTGGGATGACCTGAAAGAAAAATAAGTTTATGCAATGTTACATGCCCTTATTTTAATGATTGGTGAATCAGTCTCCATAATCTGACTTCTGTCCGATGAGTGGACCTTCCCTAACAATCTTCCCACCCCTTATGAGTAATGAGTCCAATTGGTTGTTCAAATACCCTGTAGATGACGTAACTTTTTTGATTAAATTTTTGAGTTAATTTTGGTGATATGACTATAGAAGCTGTATTTTACGCCTTTATTTTCAAAATATAAAAATCAATTTTTACAATCTCTTGGCTTTTAAAAAAAATTTCCTACTCACTCAATCTTGCCAAAAATCTATCTTCAAGAACTGTCCAACTATATTATTTGATCAAGCAATAGGGTAGAAAGAAGGCATGCTTTAATGTCCCATAATTGCAATTCAAATCTGATGCCAACCCTGCCACTTATTAGTGTGACCATTAGAAAAGTATTAATTTTCCTGAGCCTCAGTGCCCTCATTTATGAAGTGGAGATAATGAAACTATGTTTAGAGGGTGATCTTAGGATGCTAGTGCATGCAAAGTGACTGACGTGTAATAGGGTCACAGTGGAAAGAAGAATGTCTTTTAATGGGAGGAGGAAAGAGTGTATGAAGTATCACTGAGACTTCTGCAGCATGCACTCTCTATTGTTCTTAGTATCCAGGAATCTTCAGGGTCATCCTCTGTTGTTGGCCCAAATCTCTTGGGGCAAATACAGAACTATTTCCATCTAGGGAATAAATGTTTAATTGAAATGGGTCTCACAAACTGATATAATTGGTTTCCTAGCAGTTGGAGTATTAAGTGATTGAAGGACAGAGAATGAGAGAAGCTTTTCACTTTATGCCTTCTTGTTACTCTTGAATTTTAAGACATATAAATATATGACCTATTCAAAACATAAATGACCAAGATTCTTTTGCTTTGTTTTTTTTGTTTGTTTTTAAAAGCAATCCATCTTAGTCTGGTCTAGAATGTCTGTTGCTATTCATATTTCAACAGCCATTCATTCAGAGTTTGAGAGGTATAAGAACTAACTTACCATCATTACTTACCTAATAGGCTTCTCCTGGAAACATTTCTATTTCTGTCATTGCTGCAACCAACATCCAGTCACCCAGGGTAAAAAAAATAATGACATCTCCCATTCCTTTTCATTTTTTGTTTAACCCCCTACAGTCAGTCACCACAACCCGAGCATTCTATTCACTTAGTGTTTTTCTTTCCATTTCCACTGCTACCTTTCTAGTTTTAAGTTCATGTCTTAACTGGTATTAAAATCTCCTAACACCTGACTTTCAAACTCTACCACTTTCTACTAATCCTACATCTTGTTGCCAAATTAATCATCTTAAAATTTTATTCTACTGTCATTCCCTGACTCAAAAACTTTCAGTCACACCAGGTACGTTGGCACACCCCTGTAGTCCCAGCTACTCAAGAGGCAGAGTAGGGAGGGCCAGTCTGGGCAACACAGCAAGATCTGGTCTGTAAAAAAAAAAAAAAAAAAGTTTCCAGCATGTGTTGTGTATGTAAAAAAAAAAAGCATCAAACAAACCATCAGTCACAATTTAGTGGCTGCTAAATGAAGTTTCACCACCCTAACCAGGCTTTAAGACTGAGAAATGGCCCTAACCTGTCTTATTCACCTTCACTCCTTTTATATTACATATCCTGATCTGCATTAAACAATTCACAATTTCCCAAATTTAGCCTTCCCTTTAACTTCCTTGAATTCATTTGATACCTACCTATTTGAACATCTGATACATTACTATGTCCAGGGCACTGTTCCAAGTGCTAGGCATTATACAGGTTAAAAAGAAAGCACATCCCCTCCTCAAGTGGAGGCCTCATTTGTCTTAGATACCCTCCAGTGTTTAAATTCTGTTCATTCTTATGGTACAGCTGGGATCAAAATCCTACTTTTCTGAAGACTGTAAATGACTCTCCTAACCTCAAATGTACTCTCTTTTCTCTGATTTCCCAATAGCTTCCTTTTCTTTTCGCTTTTGGTGGCATTTATTACCTTCTGCCTTGTATTTTTATTTTACTTAAAAGATTTCTGGGCAACTCAAAGGCAAAGACTATATCTTTTTAATTCATATATTTTCCATAATGCTGAGCATCATTCTTTATCCATAATAAAAGTTAAATGTGGCCAGGCAAGGTGGCTCACACCTGTAATCCCAGCACTTTGGGAGGCTGAAACTGGAGAGTCACTTGAGCCCAGGAGTTTGAGGCCAGCCTGAGCAAAATAGTGAGACCTTGTCTCTACAAAAATAAAAAAATTAAAAAATAGGCATGGTTGCATGCCTGTGGGGCTTGCTGGCTGCTGGGGAGGCTAAGGTGGGAGGATGGCTTGAATCCAGGAGTTTGAGGCTGTAGTAAGCAGGGATGACACCACTGCACTGTAGCCTGGGTGACAAAGAAAAATAGAAAAAAAGATAGTTAAATATATATTTGTTTTACATATGCATAAGCAAATGAACCTGGGAGCCAGTTACCCCAGCAATCTATTAATATTATTAAGCATTTACCTGTTCTCAGTGTTCTTTTCCTGAGTTCTGGTATATAATTTATAAATATTATTGACTTTTATGCAGCTATTAAATCTATAACATTTAAATGTTTTAATATTCGGGATATTTGGAAAATGTTTATATGGTATGCAACCATAAAATTTAATAAAATATTCTGATAAAACATGTTCATTTGAATACAATGTATGTGTAAACTTAATTATGTAATTAGTTCAAGCACCGATTATTCTAACCTAGATAGACTTTATTAATTTAATACTATGTTCTTTCCCTTTCCTAGGAAAAGTACAGTAATAATAACCTGTGTTTAGCACTTTTACCTGTCAGTGGCTTATAGAAGTTATTTTGGTCTCTAAACAGACTTGTGGAATATATAGGGTAGGTATTATTTGTGTTTTAAATATGATGAAACTAAGGTGCAGAGAAGTTGCATAATTTACATGAGGTCACATAGTTAATTAATGAAAAAAATCCAGGCTTAATCTTATAGGCATGATAATTGTATATTTTGTATTACTTGAAGTAATTATGCATTTTCTTCTCTTAGTGAAAGAAAGGATGTCTTAAGAGAAGCTGAAATTTTACACAAAGCTAGATTTAGTTACATTCTTCCAATTTTGGGAATTTGCAATGAGCCTGAATTTTTGGGAATAGTTACTGAATACATGCCAAATGGATCATTAAATGAACTCCTACATAGGGTAAGTATTACACATTTTTAGTGGCCATAATTGCCATTTTTACTATTCAAACTATATTTTACTTTGATTTTATGTTTGATCAGATTATTTCGGGGTATATAGATGAATCAAAGAATAATGAAAAACTATCACAGGGATAAAATTTTACCTTTTGTGACATTTTTGTGTTGATTAAAACACTGTGGATTCAGGCCCTGTACTCTAGATTATTTTGCCTGAGTTACCATTCCTAACATTTATACCAAATTCTAGTATTTATATGCATATTACATGGGTAGAAATGGAAAAGATAAACTCTGCACACTGTAAAATCCACTGTTAAGTGATATTTTATTTTATATTAATAGCAATTTCAAATTCAAATTTAATGTTACTAATACCAGTTCATGAAGTTCTGAATTAGCAGGCCAGATATTAATAAATTATCTCTGAATACCAGATACATTAGCTTTTCTAATAATAGACAGTGGTATGCGCCATTTACCTTTTTTCTCAAGGTACCAATCACTTTCTCTTTGTGAATCCCATGAGTAAACGAATTCAGGGGTCCTCATTCTCAAAATATATGTATTCATTATTAATATTATCATGAGTCTGTAGTTTCAATAAATCTTTTTAAACCACTTGGTCCATTTTGTGAGGGTTGGCTTAATTAAAACTGTAATAATCTATAAAATCCAATCAATGGATACTCCTAAATGATAGTGTAACACAATGCCCTGTAAGTGGCCAAGGGAAAGTGGGTGCCACTGTCAGTCAGTCATAGAGTAACTTCCTCTCTGTTTCAGAATACATCACATTCTATTCGTGACTTGTGATCATTTGAAACAAGGATGGAATAAGTAACTGGTGTCAGTCTGTAAGATTTGTATAACTACCACAGCAACCAAGATACAAATATTAATAAATCATAATTTCTCATTTATTTTTGTTGAGAAATGAATATAAGTAGAAATCTAACATTTTCTTCCCACACCCCAGCAGATACTCTGGCACTCAAATTTGCAGCTCACTGGACATTCTACAGCCTCCTCCAGGGGACTGCTAACTCCTGGAAAAAAAATCATAAAATATAGAGTGAGCACTTCTCTCCCTTGTCTCCATGATCACAAGCCTCCATATTACATTATGCTGCAGAGAGGCCTGGTAACTGCTTTAAACTGCGTAATTTTCAGAAAAAGTTACCTTTTTTATAGATTAAAAGATTCAGTTTCTCTAGGGGACAGGGCTCTGTGTGTACCAGAGAAAGTAATGTTCCACATTAGTCTTTTATGTTTCATTTGGTTTCCTGTATTGCATTATTTAGGGTGGGATTTATCTTGACGTGCCCTCCCCCAACCTTACAAAATTCATTGAAAAAACTCAAGATGTATCATAAACAGTCTGAAGTATTTTGAACCACTCCCCCTGCCAGATTGATCACTGAACTATAAGCTGACGCATTTGCAGAAAAACTTCTCAAGATCAGTTTTGTACTTTCAGTAGAAGCAGTCTTTTTCATAGCATTTAGAAAAATGTGGCATGGTGCCTGGTGATTCATTGTTGATCTTCCCAAATTGCCTGGTCTTCCGAAGTATGTTCATTCTCCTGGGAAGCTACATTAACTTTTGTGTTCAGAAAACATTTATTTTAAGAAAGCTCAGATGGATGTTGAGTACTATGAAAAATAAAACGTTATGTTTTAAATGTGTCTATACTGTATAGTTTTAGAAACAAAAATGATTGTCCCCTTCCACAAAAACAAATCAAAAGGCTAATTTTATAAGCTGGAATGCAGATAAATTAATTATATGATTAAATGTATGATAAATTAGTGCTTAGTCAATAAATATGGTCATAATTTATAACTGATGCAGTGATTATAATAAAGTCTGATTTTATATTAATAAAATTAAAATAAAAATTTTGAATGAATGGCTTGGTATTTACTAGAAATAAATTGTGTGTAATTTTGTGTGTATTTGTGTGCGCTCAAATTACTTGATTAAGACATAGAATGGAGAGGTGGATGTGGGTGTAAGTATATGACTTTGGCTATGTATAGACACAAAATAACTGAGATCTGTGTCAGTTGAAGAAAGACCCAAAACCATGTAGCTGCATGACCAATATAAACTAAAAGGAAGTATTCGTGCTATAAAGTTATCATAACTTTCTCTAGAAAGTGAGGAAAGTAAGACACGTAAATGTTAAACCCTATCAAATTGATGCTATTTTATAAAAATGTGCATATGTTTTAACCTTAGTTTATACTGTGTTTCCTCATGGAATATTTAACTTCTAAGTGTGAAACGTAGTGAAATTTGGACTAACTTTATTTTGTTTCTTTTCACATATATATGAAGAAAACTGAATATCCTGATGTTGCTTGGCCATTGAGATTTCGCATTCTGCATGAAATTGCCCTTGGTGTAAATTACCTGCACAATATGACTCCTCCTTTACTTCATCATGACTTGAAGACTCAGAATATCCTATTGGACAATGAATTTCATGTTAAGGTAATTACTTTTTTAAAAAGTTTATCTGTTTCCTTGTCCTTATAGTTTTAAAAATACTTTTTAGTTATTTCTTCGACCTAGACTGTTTCATATCTCTCCTTAGAGTTAGGGACCAACGAATAGTAATTTCCGTAGCCCTTAATTTCTATCTTCTATTCTCCTTCTTACTACTGCAGTTAGGAAGCTATTCCTAGACAGAGATAGAATTACGATATAAAATACAAAGCCATTATGTTTCTTCATTGAATTGTCAAGATCACCTTTTTTGTTTTATTTTTTATTTTAAAATTATTATATGTTTATAGGAAGATGCAAAGGTAATAAAGAGGTTTCATGTATCCGTCACCTGGTTTCCCACATTGTTATGTCACACATAATTATAGTATAATTTTAAGACCAGGAATTTGACATTAGTACAATGCGTGTACATAGTACCATTACTTTATCACGTGTATAGATTTGTGTAACCACAACAATCAAGGTACAGCACTTCTCATAACATCACCACAAAGATACCACTCATGCTACCTCACCCACTTCCTCTCTACCACAATCTGTACCTCTAACAACCACTAATCTGCTTTCCATCTCTTTAATTTTGTCATTTTGAAAATGCTATATAAGTGGAATCATATAGTATGTGATATTTTGAGATTGGATCTGTTCACATCACATAATGCTCTTGAGATCCATCTAAGTTGTGCTTGTAACAATAGTTGTTTTTTATTGATAAATAGTATTCCACAGTATAAATGTACCACAGTTAACCATTCAGAAATATTTTGGTTCTTTCCAGTTTGGGGTAATTATTTACAGAGCTGCTGTGAACAAAGCTATACAGGTTTATGAGTGAACATAAGTCTTCATTACTCTGTGATAAATGCCCAAGAATACAAATGCTGGGTCATATGGTAAGGGTGTGTTTAGTTTTTTTTGTTTTTTTTTTTTTGATACAGAGTCTCGCTCTGTCGCCCAGGCTGGAGTGCAGTGGCCGGATCTCAGTTCACTGCCAGCTCCGCCTCCCAGGTTTATGCCATTCTCCTGCCTCAGCCTCTCCAGTAGCTGGGACTACAGGCGCCCACCACCACGCCTGGCTAGTTTTTTGTATTTTTTTAGTAGAGACAGGGTTTCACAGTGTTAGCCCAGATCGTCTGAATCTCCTGACCTCGTGATCCACCCGTCTTGGCCTCCCAAAGTGCTGGGATTGCAGCCTTGAGCCACTGAGCCCAGTCGGTGTGTTTAGTTTTTAAAGAAAGTATCCAACTATTTTCCAGAGTGGCTGTACCATTTTACATTCCACCAGCAATGTGTGAGAGATCCAGCTATTCCGCATCCCTACCAGCATTTGTTATTATCGTTTTCTATTTAGCTGTTCTAATAGATGCATAGTGATATCTCATCTTGTATTAATTTGCATTTTCCTAACTGCTAATGATATTGAACACTTTTTTATATGCTAATTTGCCACCCATACGTGGCTTTCAGTGAAATGTCTCTTGATGTCTTAAACTCATTTTCTAAAGGGAGTCCTTGGTTTTCTTACTGTTGAGTTTTGAGAGTTCTGTATAATGTTACAGTGGTAGTTCATCAGATATGTAGTTTGCAAATATTTTCTCCCAGTTATAGTTTATCTTTTCATCGTTTTAACAGGGACTTTCACAAAGCAAAAATTTTAATTTTGATGAAGTTCATTTTTTTTTCTTTTATGGATCATGCTTTTGCTGTCATCTCCAAGCACTTTTCACCAAGTTCTACTTACTGAAGATTTTCTTTTTTGTTATCTTCTATATGTTTTATAGTTTTATGTTACATATGTAATCTGTGATCCACCTTGAATTCATTTTTGTGTAAGATGCAGGACTTAAGTGCTGAAGACACTGGCTATTGTGATTTCACAGCTATTCTATATCTGTCTGAATATAAATAAAAAGTAGTTTTTGAGTATTAACACTAAATGTAACTCACCATATTTTTATATATCATTTTGCTGTACTTCTTTTAATAACATGTAATCAGAAAATTATTGTAAATATAAAAAACGTTCAAAGACATCAGTAATAGAGAAGTTGAAACAACAGGGAAATTAAAACAAGAAATGTGAGAAAAAATAAGTGGGAAAAAGTTTTAAGAAGACACTCCTCTCCCTAGAAGAAAGTGGTAGGGGAAGAGAGAGAGAAGCAAGCTGCTGCCTCAGTATTGCTAAGAAAAAAAGAGACTCATCTATTGCATCAATTATAGAACCATCAAGTAGAAGTACCTTAATGGACACCTAGTTCTCTGAGCCCTCATTGCAACAATCCCTGTCTCCCAAAACAGTTATCCTGTAACAGGGAGTCTTAACATCCTAATTGAATAATTGTGACATTTTCTTAAATGATCAACCAAAATTCCTTCCTAGAGTGCTTCCACCCATTGATCCTACTTCAACTTTTTGTGATAAACAGAATAAATCCAATTTAGTTACTTCAACAGGACAGCCCTTTCAATATTTGAAGATAGCTATGAACTGTCTCCCAACCCCTCACATACAAGTGCATTTTATCCATCTCCCTGATAAATAACTTTAGTTCCTTCAGTTTGTTTTCTTATTACATGGATTTTAATCCTTGGTGCTGTGTAGATGCATCGTTTGTTTAAATCTCTCTCAAATGTTGATCGTCAGCACTGAACACAATACTATTTTTGATGTGGTTTGATGAATGTAGAATTTAGTGAAAGTGTCATTTCCTTGGCCCTAAATACTTAATAGTTCCTTAATAATTCATCAGCTTTCCAGGGGTAGTCATATCACATGGTTCAAATTGGGCTTAGTGTCAACAAAAAACCCATAGAGGTTCTTTTTCCCACATACTGTTGCTTAAGCCACCTCTTCTTATCATGTACTTTACAGAATACTTTCTAGATATGATCTAATTTTATCTTGTTAAATTGGAGCAATTGCTTCAGTCTCTTAAGACCTTTATAAATGTTATTTCTGTAATCCAAAGATTTTACGTTTCTCTGCAAGTTTTGCATGATGCTCAAATTTAATTAGCTATTTTTTTGTATCTTTAAATCATGATTAAATATGAACCAGTACAGAGCTCGAATCAGAGCTGTATCACATGGCCATAAGAACCTTCATCTGGGTCAATATCTGTCCTTTTGTTAATCCATGCTTTTGGAGAAGACTCATTCAGTTTGCCTGGAATACTCCTGAAAGTGCTATTATACAGCCCATATTTCTTGGTTCTGTCCTAAAAAATTTTATGAAAGTCTTTGCTTAACTGCTTTTCTTAGCTCTTCTCATGACTTACTCAGTCATCTTCTCCATCCTCATTTTCAGAGTGGCTTTCTCTCACCACCCGCCTAGTTCCTCTCTATTCTTTTACTTTGATTTATGCTTTCTCCATTATATTTTGCACCATCTGACATAATATTTTTTATAAATATATTTATTGACCATCTCCCCCAGTTAAAATGTATGCTCCATGAAGACAGAAATTTAGTCTACTTCATTACCTGCCACATAGCCAGCACATGCCATAAAGAAATATTCAATAATTATTTGCTGAATGAACAAATGTGCGCATTCCTGATCTTCTGTATATACCGGATAGGCCTACTAACTTAGAAGTCTAATACGTTTTTATTAAAGTGCATTAAAATATTTTATAATATACAAACCATTTATACATTTACTCTTTGACAGTATTACTACTGTCAAGAAAGGAAACCAGGCCAGGAGCGGTGGCTCATGCCTGTAGTCCCAGTACTTTGGGAGGCCGAGGTGGGCGGATCACGAGGTCAGGAGATCGAGATTATCCTGGCTAACACGGTGAAACCCCATCTCTACTAAAAAATACAAAAAGAATTAGTCGGGCGTGGTGGCGGGTGCCTGTAGTCCCGGCTACTCAGGAGGCTGAGGCAAGAGAATAGCATGAACCCGGGAGGCGGAGCTTGCAGTAAGCGGATATCACGCCACTGCACTCCAGCCTAGGCCACAGAGCGAGACTCCATCTCAAAAAAAAAAAAAAAGAAACCAAATTGGTCATTCCTTTACTTAATGAATGTTTATGAAGCAACTACTATGTGCTGGGCATTGTGCCAAGTACTTGGGATGTATTACCCAATATCAGAAATTGACTACTGTTCTGATATAATTTGTTTTTTGAGAATTTTTGCTGGCCCTTTCATTTTCTATATACTTATAAAATACCCCTTTTTGTAAACTTTTTGAAATTTTTAAGCCAGGTGCTATGGTTTGAATGTGCCCCCTCCAAAATTCATACGTTGCCAATGTGATAGTGAAGAGGTAGGGCCTTCAAGGGGTAATTAGGCCATGAGGGACGGCTTTTCCATCCCTCCTGAATGAGATTAAGAACCAAAAAAAAAAAAAAAAAAAAAAAGCTTCATGCAGCTTTCAGGTAGCTTGCCTTTCTGCCTTCTGCCATTTGAGGAGGCCACAAGCAGGTGCCCACCAGACCAAATGTCAGTGGCTGGATCTTGAATCTCCCAGCCTCCAGAACTATGAGAACAAATTTATCTTCTTTATAAATCACCCAGTCTGTGGTATTCTGTTATAGCAGCACAAAAGGACTAAGACAGAAATTGGTACAATATAAGTAAGGAGTTTCTATAACAACCATCTAAAAATGTGGAGGTAGCTTTGGAACTGCATAATGACATATAGGCTGAAATCATTTTTGAAATGGATGCCAGAGAAAGCCTAGATTGCCATGAAGGGAGCATTAAGGGCAATTCTATTGAGGGCTTTGAAGTGAAGACAAGGGCTGTAGAGAAACCTTCATTCTTTTAGAGATTACTTGAGTGGTCATGAAGAGAATCTTGCTGGACATATGGACAGTAAAGACTTTTCTGACAAACAGTCTCAGATGGAAAGGAAGAACATGGTATTAGAAACTGGAAGACAGGTCATTCTTGTGGTAAAGTGGCTAAGAACTTACCTGAATGATGTCTGTGTCCTGGGACTTTGTGGAAGATAGAACTTAACATTGAACTAAGATATTTGGCAGAAGAAATTTCCAAGCAACAAAGTGTTCAGAATGCTGGGTGGCATCTGTTAACTGCTTATAGTAAAATGCAAGAAGTAGAAATGACTTAAAGGTGAAATTTATAATCAAATGGGAATTAGAATGTAAAGATTTGGAAAATTCTCAGACTGACCATGTAAAGAATAAAAAATTCTTTTTAGGAGAGAAAAAACAAGAGTGTGGCACAGTAACTGGTTGATGAAGAAATTAGCATGGATAGAGGGAAGATAGGTGCTACTCATCAAGACAATGGGAGAATGACCCCAGACGCATTTCAGAGATATTCAAGGCTGCCATGCTTATCATCACAGGGCCAGAGTGTGTGTTCCTTGGTTATTCCAGTTGTGGTTCACATAGATCCAGATGTGGCTCATGTCACTGCTCCAGAGGGCAGTATGCCTTGGTGACAACCATGTGGTGCTAATTCTGCAGGCATGCAAAGTGCAAAAGCTGTGGAGGCATGGCTTTCTCCACCTAGATTTTAGAGTGCCTCGGAAAAGCTCAGGGCCCAGGCAGAGATCTGCTTCAGGGTGGATCCTTCACAGAGTCCCCACTATAAGGCAGTGCTTAGTGGAGCTATGGTAACAGGGCTACCCCTAGAACTTCAGACCTGTAGAGCCACTGGTGTGCAGCACCAGCCTGGGAAAACCAAAGCATGTGACTTGAATATGTAAGAAATGAAGCGTGGACTATATCTAGCAAAGCCATAGGGGCAGGGCTGCCCAAGGCCTTGGGGTTCAACCTCACCCCAGTGTGTCCAGACGGTAGTACATGGAGTCAAAGAAGATTATCCTCAAGCCTTAAGATTCAGTGTTGTTTGGTCTGTTGTATTTTAGACTGACTTGGGACCTGTTACTCCCTTTTTCTTTCCTGTTTCTTCCTTCTGGAATGGTAACAGCTATTCTATGCTTGCCCTACCATTTTATTTTGTAAGCACATAACTTACTTGATTTCACAGGCTCACAGCTAGAAAGGAATTTGCCTCAGGATGAATTTCACCTTGAATCTCACCCATATGATGTTTAGAAGAGACTTTGGACTTAGGCTTTGAAGTTGATACTAGAACAAATTGAGACTTTTGGGGGCTATTGGGCTGGAACGAATGTATTTTGTATATAAGAAGGACATGAATTTTAGGGGGGCCACAGGCAGAATGCTGTGATTTGAATGTGTCCCCTCTAAACTTCAGATGTTGGCAATGTGATACTATTAACAGATGGGACCTTTAAGAGGTGATTAAGCTGTTAGGGCTTCTCCTTTATAAATGAGATTAAGGCCCTTAAAAAAGAGAGACTTCATGCAGTGTTGGAGGATTGAAACACCAGAGTTTAAGGATAGGCTCCTACAAATATATCAGACTTATTCTTAGGTTCCTAGGTTACATACTTTAGAATACTCCATATATTTCTATAGGTTGCAAATGTTGATTTGCAAAGTCAACATTTTTTCCCCTTTTTAAAAAATCAGACTGGCATTCACTTTTCTGATATCCTATAATACCTCTCCATTTTGTCCCACAAGGAACACTAATAGCACTGAGGAGGTATTTGCAAATTATCTAAATAATTTGAAATATATAGTTGTATAACTTTTCAACTTCCTTAGACTTCATTTTCTTCATCTCAGACCAGAAACTATTCTTTTTTTTTTTTTTTTTTTTTTTTTTTTTTTGAGACGGAGTCTCGCTCTGTCGCCCAGGCTGGAGTGCTGTGGCCGGATCTCAGCTCACTGCAAGCTCCACCTCCCGGTTCCCGCCATTCTCCTGCCTCAGCCTCCCGAGTAGCTGGGACTACAGGCGCCCGCCACCACGCCCGGCTAGTTTTTTGGTATTTTTTAGTAGAGACGGGGTTTCACCGTGTTAGCCAGGATGGTCTCGATCTCCTGACCTCGTGATCCGCCCGTCTCGGCCTCCCAAAGTGCTGGGATTACAGGCTTGAGCTACCGCTCCCGGCCCAGAAACTATTCTTGATAGAGAAAACAAAAGCAAAGTAATAATGACCTCTACTTTCTTTTTCATCCATCAATAGCGTATACTTGGTCCTTTTCTGTGAATTCAATTTTTTAAATCTTGATTATTTTTTTTTTTTTTCTTAAATTTACTCTTTTATTGTAGCAAATGAATGGAAGATTCATTTATTCTACCCCTCCTTTTTGGGGATGGAGGCCATAATTTTTTTTTGTCTCAAATTCATCTAAATGCTAATAAAAGTATGTATTTTGTTAAAATCAGTAAAAAATATAGGAAGTAAACAATGGAAACAAATGATGTGCTGCATGGAGCCCATTTCACTCTGCTGAATTCTAAAGTATGCAGTAAAATGTTCTAAGTAATTTAAATGTCTTTAAGGATTTCCCATACTCCCTTGTCAATTAAATATTATTTCTGTTCTTACATTTTGTCTTACATTTTTAAAAAATAAAGTAAAAAATAAGGAAGCTTTTAAATATTTAGTTATAAGATACTGTATAATATGTGCACAAGATTTACAATTGAAGCAAAACTGTACAGGACATATCAAAGGCACAGAATATTGTCACTGATAATTCTTTAGACACCTATTGTATTGGACATAAATATGCTTTATATGCAATTATACTGTTTCTATGAAATACTTCATTTAGTGATCAGCATAAAATTGTATAATAATTATCTTTACAATTTTGAGATTTTGCTTATTTCGTAATTTAAGAATGCTACCTTTAGGGCATTATGAATACAACTGTATAAACCAGAATTGTAAACAATGACCAGTGACAATTGCATGAGATGTGAGTAGAATTGGCAGCTCTGTGAGATGTAGAAAGCACATGGTACCAAGCTATATGTCATGACAAGGTGTGCAAGGTACACACTCATTGAGAATAACAGACAAAAAATGTCTCTCTTTAATTTTCAAAAATTAGTTTCTCTTTTGAAATTTGTAATGTTATATTAAACTTTAAGTCAGTATGTATTGCTTCTAGAGTTATTTGGCTCAGCACTATGGAATTTAATTTTGTAAAAAGTTGGTGGAATATATAGAAATAAAATATTAAAATATATTACATTTTCTCTGGTTTGATATCTAAATACAGTGAATATACACAAAGATAGTTGACTTTTGGACTTTTTTAAAGAGGAAATTTCTTAATTCAATTATTTGCTCTTTTCCCTTACAGATTGCAGATTTTGGTTTATCAAAATGGCGCATGATGTCCCTCTCACAATCACGAAGTAGCAAATCTGCACCAGAAGGAGGGACAATTATCTATATGCCACCTGAAAACTATGAACCTGGACAAAAATCAAGGGCCAGTATCAAGCATGATATATATAGGTATAATAAGGATTGCTTTTTCTCAGAGTTAACCTTGTCTCAGACACAAAATTAGTCAACCAGAATTTTGAAGCTACATTTTAAACTGTGATTTTTATTCTTCTCTCATAGTTGTGGTGAAAATAAACTTGAGGCCACGGTGATTAATATTTTTCAAAGTAAAGAAATTTAATGATTTGCTTTAAGAAACTTTTACATCCTTTAAGAAATTTTAAAACATCTCTTCTTATCCTATCAATTTATAATAGTTAAGGATTTTTATCATATGTGACTTGAAAATGCAGAGGGAAACAGTAGTTCCTAACATTTTAGCTTTAAGTTTCTCAACCTGTTCAACCTTTCAGCTTTTGATATCTATACATCTTTTTAGATAAATAGACCAACTCTTAATCATACTGGGGATGTTTCTATTTAAAGAATCCCTAATATTTGTATATGTGTGAATTTTTTATACAACAAATCAATGGATTTGATCGTATTTTCATATTTCCGATGCATATTACTTATAGTCTCATAATGCAGTAATAAGCATAACACATTGTTCTTGACACTGGTTATTTAACCAGAATAAAAGGAAGATGATTATTTACATAGGTTTAAGAGATGGGGACATTCACCTCATGTGTAAGTTACTCTTATCTCTTTTAATATACTAATGAATGCAAAAGCACACTCTCTAAATTTGCTGTGAACACATTGTATAGTCCTTTAAATGGCTTTTTGCCATCTTTAATAAATAACCTGTTAATGAATCATTTTAGGAACAAATGCCATATCTCTACCAAAAAACTATATATTTAATTAAGTTGCATATTCCTTTTCTTCAAAAGCATTTTAATTTTTGTTATTTCTCATTAAATCCAAAGCCAGCCAATCCATTTTAGTGGCTGCACTAAAACAATTCATATAGTGTCTTTTACATTCACATTGTATGAATATAAAAAATTGCCCTTTCATATTTTGTTTTCTGATATTTTTAATTTATTTTGAATGATGTACTGAGGGGAGGGGAAATGTATTTACAGCTTCCTAAGGTAAAGATCATGTTCTACTCAACAATTCTTGAAAACTGGTTTGATTCTATAAAAATGGGCCAATTTAAATCTACCAGTCATTCATTTTGTAAATTTTCTCTTTATGTTCAATTTCAATATTCTCTGTCGGGGAAATATGAGGAAATATTATTCCTTTATTTGGGTAGGAATTCCCTCTGTACTCCTCGCTCTCCCTGTAACAAAAGGTGTTGGTAGTAATAAATTCTATGTGTCCATTTTGAATGCATGGTTAATGTTGGGGTGTGGCAAAATTCTTATATCCTATTTAACCATTTATTCTAATTATAAACTCTATGCAGCTTAACCCTGTAATTGACATCTGAAGTTAAACTGTAGGCAGGATATTTCTACTACCAAAGAAGATAGTGCTGAGAGCAGAAAAAAGGCAGTAGAATAGAGCTCCATGAGACAATTTTTTTCTTGCTCTTTGTTCTTTGTGAAAAGTAATATCATTTAATTAAAGGGCATAGCTTATCTGAGTGTTCAAGAATTAATCCTAGTATTAAATCATCCACAAAAAGTTAATCTTGCATGTAACGTTAAGCTTTTATTACAGTAATTTCCTAATTTTTTAACTTAAAATTGATTTTCTTTCAAAACTAGATGAGCATTTGTCATCTTCATTGTATACAGTAATTCTTTGCTGCCTTATCACTTTCAAAAATGGTATCTTCACAGTCAGCTTTTAAAAGTAGTGTTATTTTAGTTTATTAGATAGAGTTCATTTAAAATATATAACATGTATGTTCTTATGTTAAACAGCTATGCAGTTATCACATGGGAAGTGTTATCCAGAAAACAGCCTTTTGAAGGTAAGTATGTGTTGACTTTTTTATGCTCAATAACATCATGTTAGTAGGTCACTCTCAGAACTATCTAAAAATCATGTTATTTTAAATCTGCTTATTCATTTTGTGGAAGAGACACTAAAACGACAATTTATCAATTGTGAATGCATCACATACTGCAAAATATACTGGGTTAAGGATCCAGTTGTGAGTCTGCTATATACTGGAAAATGTACTGGATTAAGGATCAGAAAAACCCAGATTTTAATTCTTGTTCTGACAGTAATTAACTCTGTGATCAAGTCACAAAATCTCTTCAGTCCTCATTTTTGTCACCTGCATAGTAAGAATTTTAAATTACTATTTCCAAGTTCTAGTCTAGCTGTAAAATTATTTATATGATAATTTAATTACTACTCCCTCTATAAAGACTAGCAAATATTGAAGACTAATCTGTCCTTTTTATTCCCTGAAAATATTGTTTACTTCTTTATTCTGAGGTTTGTGTAGGTCAGCTTGTTGTGTAACAAAAAACAACCTTGGAATCTCCATAGCTTATGAAATAAACATTTATTTCTCATTCACATTAAATATTAGTTGCTGTAGCCCTTCTTAGTTCGGCTAGGTTTTGCTCAGCTCTGCTTTACAAATATTCTGTTTACCAAATCCAATCATATGGCCAAGCCCAGAATTAATGAGGTGAGGATATAAACTCCTTCCATAGGAATAGACAAGTCTGGCAATGGTTTGGGGTATATATATTCCTTTTACAGAAAGGGGGGTAAGACATTATTCCTAAAATTTTAATATTCACTTATTTTCTTTTAGTTAGTTTTAGATGTAAGTAATATGCTGAATCGTAATATATTTCTAATGAATGCAATCTATTTGTTTTGACAGATGTCACCAATCCTTTGCAGATAATGTATAGTGTGTCACAAGGACATCGACCTGTTATTAATGAAGAAAGTTTGCCATATGATATACCTCACCGAGCACATATGATCTCTCTAATAGAAAGTGGATGGGCACAAAATCCAGATGAAAGACCATCTTTCTTAAGTGAGTATATAGTTTTAACATGGACTCTTTGAATTATAGAATTAGTTAATATACTGTGAATAAAATATTCCTTGAAAAATTGTGCAAATTAGATGACTAGCTAGAAGTTGTTTAAATTATTTTCCAACTTATCATAGCATTTATATGAGAGTAACTCCTTCTAGAGCAGAACTGAGAATTCCTAACAAAAAAGAGAAATTGTGTGATAGGAGTAACGATTTCCTTCATATATTTAACAAATATGTCTTGAACCCCTACCATGCGCTATGTATATACTGGAGTAAGCCCTGGGAACAGAGTAGTAAAGAAGACAAACTTTCTGTAGCTAGTTCACATTCTAGTTCAGAAGGCAGAGTGAAAACAAATAAATAAGCAAGACACAGATTGTGACAGTCTTATTAGGAAATAAGCAAGGTAATAGACTAATTAAGGGAGGGAAACAAAGGCCTTTTTTTAGGAGCGAACATTTGAGCTGAGATTTGAAGCTTGAAAAAGAGCCAGTCATTCAAATGCTGAAGAAAAAGTATTCAGCCAAACAAAAACAGCAAGCATAAAGGCTCTGAGCCTAGAAGAGAAAAAGCTTTATATTCTTAAGAAACAGTGAGAAGGCCTGTGTAGCTAGAATATAGTAAGCAAGGAAAGGAATTAGATGATATTGGAGAGGTAAGAGAGAGGCTATTGGCCATCATTAAAAGGTTAGATTTTTATTCCAAGTGCAATGGAAAGCCATTAAAGTATGTTTTGCAGGGAAGTGACATGATCTGATAAGAAGTATAGGTGAAATTCTTACTGCTCTGTGGAAAGTTGATTGGAGAAAGGCAAAAGTAGAAGCAAAGAGGCTAGGAAAGAAACTTTCAGGAATTTTCTAATTGAGGTGGAAATTCTGAAGATAGAAGAGTTACAGAATTAAGATAGTATTTCAGAGGCAGAATGGATCAGACATCCAAATGTAAATGTAGGAGAAAATCTTCATGACCTAGGGTTAGGCAGAATCTTTAAATATGACATCAAAAATAAATAGGATTCATTAAAAAATTCATAATCAGACTTTGAAAACATTGGAAACTTTTGCACTTCAAAAGGTCCTATTGAGAAAAGAGACAGCCAGGCGTTTAGTGTCCACGACTTTAGTCCCAGTTACTTAGGAGGCTGAGGCAGGAGGATCACTTGAGCCCAGGAGTTTGAGGATGTATCATAATAGTGCACTGTGATCGTGCCTGTGAAAAGCTACTGCACTCCAACCTGGGCAACATAGCAAGACCTCATTTCCAAAAAGGAAAAAAAAAGCAGAACCACAGACTGGGAGAACATATTTGCATAACATGTATCTGCTAAAGGGCTTGATTCTGGAATATATAAAAAACCCTGACAAGTCAATAATAGGACAGATAGCCCTATTTTAAAACGAGTAAAAGATCTGAATTTCACCAAGGGAGACATACAAATAGCTAAAAAGCACATAAAATGATGCTTAATATTATTAGTCATTTGGAAATGCAAATTAAAACTGCAATGAGTTACCACTTTATACCCACAAAAATAGCTATAATTAAAGACAGAAAATAACAAGTGTTGACAGTGATGTGGCAAAACCAAAATCCTTATACATTGTTAGTGGGAATATAAAATGATACTGCCTCTTTGGAAAACAGTTTGGCAGTTTCTTAAAAATGAAAGATAAATTTACCATACAACCAAGCAATCCACTAACAGGTAACCCAAGATAAATGAAAACATGTGTTCACACAGAGACTTGTATGTGATTAGTGATAGGAGCATTGTTTATAACAGCCAGCAAGTAGAAACAGTCATAATTACTGTTGCTACTACTACAACAATACATGAATCTGTTGTTCCAGGAAGAGTCCAGGATCCTAAGATAAAATTGAACATCACTAACATATTGGTAGTCTGGACTGGTTCATCTAAGAAGGTAATGTAGATAGCAAAGAGGGACCCATAGTAGAGCTCTGAGGCATTCCAGCACTTAGAAATGGAGAAGAGGAAGAAGAAAAAGAGACTGAGGAAGAGAGGACAGTAGAGAGTATAGTCTTTGTGTCTTGGAAGTCAAGGAGGGGTATAGTCAGACATGTCTAATCTGCCAGGAGGCCAAATGAGACAAGCAGGATTTTCCAACATTGTCATCACCAGTAATCCAAACAAATGGAGTTTTAATAGAGATATGAAAACAGAAGACTGATGTACATTTTAAAAAAAAAGAAAGAAGTGAAGCCAAATATGCACAATTCCAGCAAGATGCTTGGCTCTGAACAGAAGCAGAAAAAAATGAGGTGATAGCTAAAGGATGATATGGGGTCAAAATTTTTTCCTATGGCCAGGCACAGTGGCCCATGCCTATAATCCCAGCACTTTGGGAGACCAAGGCAGAGGGATTACTTGAGTTCTGGAGTTGGAGACCAGCCTAGGCAGCACAGCAAGACCTTGTCTCAACTAAAAAAAATGTAAAAATTAGCCAGACATGGTGCATTGCCTGTAATCCCAGCTACTTGGGAGACTGAGGCAGGAGGATTGCTTGAGCCCAAAATGTTGAGGCTGCAGTGAGCTATGATCGTGCCACTGCACTTGCACTCCAGCCTAGGTGACAAAGCAAAATGCTGTTTCTTTAAAAAAAAAAAAAAATCCTGGAGAAAGGTAAGAAACAGTAATAGAATATGTGTTTGATGGTCAAATGATCCAGTAGAGAGTCAGAGATTGTCAGTGCAAGAGCTGAGAGAGAGTATCAGAAACAGAATGCTGGAGAGGTAGAGGAAATGGTATTCAGAGTGCAAATGATACTGTTTACATTTGTATGAGTACATGGACACTTCTTTCTACTGTAAGAGAAATGAGGTTGGAGAGATGGATACAAGTACAAGAAGTTTGTAGATCTGGTTGTAGGACCCTGAAGGAATTCCCTCTCATGGCTTCTATTTTCTCAGTGTAGTGTTAGAGCAGATGATCAGCTAGCTCAAAGGAAAGATGGAGTATGGGATGTAAGAGGTTGAAAAGGGGAAGATAAAATACAATGGTCTTACCCCTGCTTTCCCTTTCTAAGTTCAGAATATATTAAGAAAAAGATGAGGAAGAAAGACAGATGGTGGTCAAAATATCAGTTTCATTACTGATAAAGCTAATTGGAGAATGTACCTTTAGATCTGCAGCCAAATGGGCTTAGTAGCGTTTTACCCCTACAGTTGATAGCTTTACCAGCCCACCACAGGCCTCACCCTGCTTCTACATAGGGAAGCAGAAAATGTATGCATTCTTTAGGCAAGCTGACTTTTAAAAGAAGGAGAAAACTGCAAAGGAACCAGATAAGCATGCTGAGTTTTTCTCCAAGATTAACAAATGAGGTAAGTCTGAGGGGCAGAAAGAAGATGGAAGAATTCCTCCTATACTTCTCCTTCCTGAGGATTGAACTGGAAATGTCATCTTCCTGTTGGAAACATGAAGAAAAGGACTTAAGCGTCTCCTCCAGCAGTACAAGATAATCATGTAAGACAGCAATTCTCAAACTTTTAGATCTCAATACTCTTCAAAATCATAGAGGACCTCAAAGAGCTTTTGTATATGTGGGTCATATCTATTAGCATTTACTGTATTAGAAATTAAAACCAAGGAATTTTAAAATGTAGGAATATACAAGAACACGTTCCATTGTCTGTTGAAGCAGTGTTCTTATCACACCTTACTTATGGGCCTCTGGATAAATCCACTATATACTCGTTTGGGGATGACAGTAAACAGGGAAAATAATGTCTTAGTACTAGTTACTTTGAATATAGTTTTGACTTCATGAACCCTCAGAACCACCCCCCCACCCCCAGGGGTCCCTAGGCCACACTTTAAGAACCACTTATCTATGAGAACAGTAGATGTATTTGGGAAGCAAAATAGGATTGCTGAGAAGTAGTATTTAGTGTTTAGTTTGGGCCGTTAATCTAGAGAAACTAGTGACCCCACTTCTGGTCAAGATGGAGTAACAGGGGCCAATTTGCCCTCCTGCCTGAAACAACCAAGAAACCTAGACAAAATATGTGAAAGAGTGGTTTTTAAGACACTAAATATCAGGAAACAAAGAACAGCAATCTCTGATAGACGGGAAACAAATGAAGTCAGCCTTCCGATTGCCCAGCTTCCTGCCTTGAGAGTTTCTAGATGCAGCATGGGGAGAGGAAACTGAGGTGGAACCCAGCTGACACTCAGGGTCTAGGAGACAGGGATGACAGTGTGGGTAGACCAAGGCAGATAGACTTCATAGGACATCGCACCGGAAGGGAAAAGGTACACAGAGGAAGAGCCCCAGAGATTTGCAGAGGGTTCCTCTCAAGTATTCAGTGGAGCACTGATCAGTACAGCGTGGATAAGTCAGTAAGCCAAAAGCCAAAATCTTCAATGAGCATAGGAGAAAAGCAGAAGTTTGCAGAGAAGTGTTGCCCAATGGCATGAACTTTAGAGGATCTAGAATTTTCACAGAAAGAAGAAATTACTATTTGGAAATGGCAAAGAGAGGACAACAGAGATATGTACCCTTCCTCATAACTCTGGAAAGAAAGAAAGATAAAATATGAACCCATTACCTTAGCAAATTTTGATTTGTAAATATAATACTGATGAACAATGGATATAAGTATTGAATGAAAAATACAATGCATTGCTTTTTTTAGTAATGAGAACTCAGTTTATTTTTAGACTGTCTAACTAATATTGCCTATAAACATATCCAGCCTTATATCTGACAGTACGGTGTGAGTGTGTGTGTGTGTGTGTGTGTGTGTGTGTGTGTTTAATTTATCACATTTCTTACAAAGTACTGTTGTCTGCCTTAGACATTTTTCATTTATAGCCTTTGGGATGCTACTGGTTTTGTTGTTATTGTTAGGTTTTGGACTTTGTTTTTAAATGGAAGCACAACTTTTTTTTCCTAGGATGACAGCTTCCTATTTTCAGTGGGAAGGTACCGTCATTGATTTATAAACACACTACTGCCCTATACAGCCCGTCAGTTTTATTTTAAGGCTCTGGTGTATATTGGAATGGTGAAAAGCAGATTCTGGGAACCTGAAAGGGAAAGGAAGAATAAAAAATCAATAATAGGGAAAGTTTAAGTGTATTCAATAAAGAAATTCTGTCAGTACGACCAAATGGAAGAACAAGAAATTACAAAGGGATTTCTAGATACCAGAGTAAGCACAAGATGCCTACTTTTGGATAAACCTACTGAAAAGAAATGAAAAGTTCACAATGAAAGAAATTTTGGTAAAAAAATAAAGGAAGCTTGAAAAACTAAAAGCAAGCTATATTTTTCCTTTTTTTAAAAAAAATATAGGTTAACTGAATTAAGGAAAAAAGGAAGATCAGTAAACCTTTGTTGAAAAAGTGACTAGAGAATATACATTCTGAAAATGGATTTAACTGTTCAATTAATGTACATATTAAATGGCAAAGTAACACACTAGCAGACAGGAATCATAAATATTCTGTTTTTCAAAAGCCTATCAAAGTATAGTTTACTTACCTTAAAATTTATCTATTCTAAGTATACATTCATTGACTTTTTAGTATTAATAATTTTACAGTTTGCAGCCATTACTATAATCCAATTTTAAAGTATTTCCATCAACCCCCACAAAATCCCTCATAACTATTTACAGTCACTGCCTGTTCTCATCACTAACCCTACGTAACCAGTAATCTATTCTCTGTCTTTCTAGATTTGCTTTTTCTGGATATTTCATATAAATGGAATGATAACAATGTGTGGTCCTTTTGCATCTGGCTCTTTTCACACTTAGCATAATGTTTTTCAAGTTCATCCAGGTTTCAGCATGAATCATAGTTTGGTAATTTATTGTTGAATAATACTTCATCGTATGGATGTATCACATTTTGTTGATCCATTAGCCAGTTGATGAACATTTTGATTGTTTCTACTTGTTGCCTATGTGAATAATGTTGCTATGACTGTTCACATACAAGTCTGTGAACATATGTTTTCATTTCTCTTGGTTAATTATCTGTGAGTAGAATTGCTGGGCTACATGATAAATTTATCTTTAATTTTTAAGAAACTGCCAAACTGTTTTCCAGAGTAGCTACATTATTTTATTCCCACCAGCAATGTATGAGGGTTTCATTTTCTCCACATCACTGTCAACACTTCTTACTTTCTTTTTAATTATATTTTAGTGAGTATGGAGTGATGTCTCATTGCAGTTGTAAAGTGCCTTTTCTTATGATGTTAAGCATCTTTTTATGTGCTTCTTGAAGACATTTGTATATCTCCTTTAGTGAAATTCAAATCTTTTACTTGTTTTTTAATTTTGCTATTTTTCCTATTATTGTCATGGGTCTGTATTTATTGTAGATACAAACCCTTTAGCAGATACATGATATGGAAATATAGTGTACAAGATTGCAGCTTATCTTTTTATTTTTTCTTAATACTGTCTTGAAGTGCAAAAGTGTTCAAATTTTTTGAAGTCCAGTTTTCAGGTTTTTTGTTTGTTTGTTTTGTTTTTGAGATGGAGTCTTGCTCTGTTGCCCAGGCTGGAGTGCAGTGGTGCAATCTTGGCTCACTGCAAGCTCTGCCTCCCGGGTTCACGCCATTCTTCTGCCCCAGCCTTCTGAGTAGCTGGGACTACAGGTGCCCGCCACCATGCCCTGCTAATTTATTTTTTTTATTTTTTTATTTTTTTGTATTTTTAGTAGAGATGGGGTTTCACTGTGTTAGCCAGGATGGTCTCAATCTCCTGACCTCGTGATCTGCCCGCCTCGGCCTCCCAAAGTACTGGGTTTACAGGCATGAGCCACCACACCCGGCCCAATTTTTAGGTTTTTTTAACGGATTTCATTTTTGATGTCATATCTAAGAACTCTGCCTAACCCAAGATCATGAGGATTTTCTCCTATGTTTACATTTAGGTGTGGGGTCCATTTCAAGTTAGTTTTTATGCGTAGTGTGATATAAGTATCTAAATTTATCTGTTTCCAGGTGTATATCCAACTGTTTTAGCATCATTTGTTGAAAAGGCTGTCCTATCCTTTCCCCGTTGAATTGGCTTAGCACATTTGTCCAAAAACAGTTTTTTTAGGTTCTCAACCCTATTCCATTGTTGCTTATGTCATCTTTATGTCAGTAATAAAAGCTCATAAAACAGCTGAATGTCATCACTTTGGGAAGAACTGACTTGAGGCCTTGTACGTTAAATGTTAGCATTTCACTTTAATAATTAGAAGCAATCTGAATTCAACCTATATTTTTTTTCTCTTATGTAGAATGTTTAATAGAACTTGAACCAGTTTTGAGAACATTTGAAGAGATAACTTTTCTTGAAGCTGTTATTCAGCTAAAGAAAACAAAGGTAAATTGCCAAATGGAATGCTGGAAATTAGAAATTTAAACAACTATATATTATTCATGGAGTTTTTTAGTTAAGTGTAGTTTTTAATATATATACTTTTCACAGATATGAGCTACAGTTTTGGAGTGAGAAAATTTACCAGAGACTATCAATACTACTTTTCCTTTGTCACCAAAAGCTTTTCTATTTCAATCAAATGGCCACCTTCAGATTTTAAAGACATTTCCAGGACCAGGCGTGGTGACTCACACCTGTAATCCCAGCACTTTGGAAGGCCAAGGCGAGTGAATCACTTGAGCCCAGGAGTTTGAGACCAGCTGGGCCACATAGCAGGACCCTACCTTTATTTAAAATGTAAAAAAAGAAAAAAAAAAAAAAAGACATTTCCAGAACCCTTATATATCAGACGTAAATTTAAAAATGAAAAATCACAGCCAGTTGTTTACAATGAATGCACTGAGCCATTAGAGGCATTTGTTTGTTTTTTAATGTACATTTATTTTCCTAAAGTTGTAATGCCTAGAGAATTATAGATGTCTGGGTTCTCGCACTTCTCTTTTAATTTAATGTACATTTTTTTCTGACATTCCTTGCCAAGTTTAACTGTAGAATTTTTATTATATTTGAGACCAAAGTGTGTTTGTTTTTTCAGTTTTCCTCTCAAACACTTCATGTTTTATAGACCAAGGTAGCAGTAACAGTTGATATGACTTACCTGGGAGAGCTGTGTTATTTACTCACTCTGATTCTTGTGGGTCGGAACAATTGAAGGGACTATTACTGCAGGGTTGTTTTTTTTTTTTTTCAATATTACTCAAAATTGTTTAAAAAGCAAAGCAACCACAGTTCATTAAGGCAAGTGCTAAACTATGCTTACTTTGCCCTAACGAACTGTGGTTTGTTAGGAGATGTGGGTTTCATTAAATTGTAGTTAATATATAATATAAAAACCAGCCGTTAGCCAAACTCGTGGGGTGTGAACAAGCAAAATCTACAATTTTTATAACCAAGTGATATTGCTTGCCCCTTGTGGCTTGCTGGATCTAGTGACATAACCCTTGGTTTCAAAGGGAAATGCATAAAGGAAGGAACTAAAGAGGAACTGTGTTTTCGTTCTTTTAATAACTTGTCACTGGCTCCACCACTTCTGAGTAGGTAGTGTTTTCCAGAGGATACCAATTTCTCTATTCCTTAATAGAGTCAAAATTTTTTTTTAGTTTGTAAAGATGGGGTATCCCTCTGTAACCCAGGCTGGAGTGCCATGACAGGATCATAGCTCACTGCAACCTCGAAGTGCTGGGCTCAAGCAATCCTCCTACCTCAGCGTCTCCAGTAGCTTGAAACTACAGGCGTGGGCTACCACACTCAGCTACTTTTTAAGTTGCCATATTTTTTCCACTTAGGATTGTTCTTTTAAAAAAAAAAAATCTTGTATCGATTCTGTGATACTTATAGGGCAAGAATATCATCTGATTTTTATAGATGAGATAACTAAGGTACAATAGTCTTCCCTTATCCATGGGAGATACATTCCAAGACCCCAGTAAATGCCTGAAACCATGGGTAACACTGAACCCTATGTATACTGTACATACATACCTATGACATAGACATATATACTTTTCCTATACATATATACCTATGATAAGGTTTAATTTATAAGATAGGCACAGTAATACATTAACAATAACTGACAATAAAATAGAACAATTCTAACAATATTCCAGCATCACTATTCTTGCACTTTGGGCCATTAGTACTAAGAGTTGATTAATTAGTAATGAGTTACTTGACCGGCCTAGGCAATGTGGCAAAACCCCATCTCTACAAAAAATACAAAAAAAAAAAAAAAAAAAAAAAAAGCTGGGTGTGGTGGCACATGCCTGTAGTCCTAGCTACTCAGGGCTCAGAAAGGAGGATCACTTGAACCCAGGAGGCAGAGGCTATAGTGAGCTGGCACTCCAGCCAGGGTGACAGAGTGAGACCCTGTCTCAAAAAAAAAAAGAGTTCCTTGAGTACAAGCACTGTGATCCTGACAGTTGTTCTGATAGTGACAGGGTGGTAGCTTATACAGCATGGATATGCTGGACAAAGGGATGATTCACATCCTGGGTGGAATGGAGCTGTAGGGTATGATGTTTCATCATACTACTTAGAACTCAATGTGATTTAAAACTTATGAGTTGTTTATTTCTAGAATTTTACATTTAATATTTCGAAACCACAGTTGAGCAGGGTAATAGAAACTGTGAAAAGTGAAACCAAGATAAGATGGGGACTACCGTATAGGGAAGTTAGTCACTTATGTACACCTCACACAGTAAGCTAATGTCAGGGCCAACAGTGGAACACAAATTAAATAAGATTCTTTCATAAAGAAATTTCTGAGCTAGGTGTGATGGTACATGCCTATAGTCCCAGTTACTCTGAAAGCTGAAGCAGGAGGATCGCTTGAGCCCAGGAGTTCCAGTCCAACCTGAGCAACATACCAAGACCCTGTCTCTTAAGAAAAAAAATTTCAGGCCGGGCGCGGTGGCTCAAGCCTGTAATCCCAGCACTTTGGGAGGCCGAGGCGGGTGGATCACGAGGTCAGATAATCGAGACTATCTTGGCTAACATGGTGAAACCCCGTCTCTACTAAAAATACAAAAAACTAGCCGGGCGTGGTGGCGGGCGCCTGTAGTCTCAGCTACTTGGGAGGCTGAGGCGGGAGAATGGCGTGAACCTGGGAGGCGGAGCTTGCAGTGAGCCGAGATCGCGCCACTGCACTCCAGCCTGGGAGACACAGCGAGACTCCGTCTCAAAAAAAAAAAAAAAATTTTTAAAAGCCAAGATTAGTAGGGAAATTTGTTTCGAGTTTCCTACCTTTTTTCAGCTCTTGGAAGCAGCTCCCATAATTTATGTTTTCCTAGGTAATTGGCTTCTATATCTTGAATAATAAACACTGAACAAAAATAGGTTTTTTTCAACTCATTTCTTCTTAGGGACTGATTCACTAGTTCACAAGTAATTTGAATTATCATAACTGATCATTTATGAAAAAGTGTTACTAATTCAAGGATATTGCATTATCAGAAATGTTTTGGCAAATTTTATAAGCACAGAAAAACCTTACATAACAGAGACAAAACCAAAAACTCATTTTAAAGGGTCATATAACAGTATATTTATAGATGTTTTTTGAACTGCTGTGTATAAAGCCCTGTGCTATGTACATTATATACACAGATGAATAGGAGTAATTTCCTCCTGAAGTTCCTTAGCCATGTAAATGGAGCATGCAGTCATAAATGTGCATAATGGATGGCTGGGTGTGAATTCACCAGTTTCCAAATTCTGAAGAATAGTTGGCATTATGATGGTCTGGGGAAGAAAATGATTGATAGGTTTTTAAATCACTGAATAGTGATGGAAACTAATCCAAGTCTAGCTTATATAGACAGGAATAAATCACTTAATTTTAACACAAAAGAATAGTATTTAAGTAAATCATCTACTCAGCAGCTACCATTTATTGAATGCTTACAAGTAATGTTAGGGCCTTTTTGCATATATTACTTTTCATTTTCCTTACAGTAATCCTTCAAAATAGGTATTTTTATCTCCAGTGTACAGATAAGTAAACTGAGATTAAATCTAATGTCCCACATCAAACAGATGTGGGAATCTAAATCACATCTGATTGGCTCCATGGCCCCACCATTCCATTATTGACACTCTACCTCCTTTACTTAGTCTAAGCCTCAATCTCTTAACTATAAAATGAAAATAATAATACTTACAGGCACAGTGCCTAAAATGTGGTAAATGCTTTATTATAGATAGACATACAATCACACTCCCAAAAATTTATTAAGTACCTAGTTTATACCAGTTATTTCGTATTTATAAGCTCAATCTCTAGAACCATCCTGCATGTAGGTATTATTAGATTTTAAGGATGAAGCTCTGAGACACTGAGAGAAGGTAACCAATTAATATTAGGTAAGATTCAAAGTCTGTGTTTCTAAAGTTATTTCCCTTGTTCTACACTGTCTCTTCCTTCAGTTATATGTTATATTCCCAACTCTTTATATTTTCTTGCCATGTATTTTGCACAAACATATAAAATGTGTTAATTAGATTGTATTTTACTTCTATAATTTCCTAATCACCTCCAGTTAAAGTGTATATGCATTTATGTATTCATTCCAGTTACAGAGTGTTTCAAGTACCATTCACCTATGTGACAAGAAGAAAATGGAATTATCTCTGAACATACCTGTAAATCATGGTCCACAAGAGGTAAAAAAAAAAAAAAAAAAGTTACATTAAACTCAAAATGTGAGAAGAATTTGAAAAAATCATTTGGTCTAAGCCGTTCTTTTATAGAAGGAAAACTAAAGCCCAGGTAGCTTTTAGGATTTGTTTGGTAGCTCATGGCAATCTCCAACTTGAAACCCAGCTCTACTGATTCTCAGTTCATTTTTCATCCCATCAAATCACAATGATTGCTTTTTTGTTTGGCATTGAGTTCTGTCGCTGTCATTGGTTTATACAATAAATGACGTCCCAGGGTAGTATGTAGGCAAATCATTGATTACAGTTTTAACACTATATTTATGCTACCTTGTTCTTACCTCTTATCATAATTAATGAGAGGCTAACATTGCTGCCCAAGAAGAAAGATTTCTTTAGTAGCATTCAGTCAGACTTATATTAGTCTGAATTAGTAATTTCTTTTAAGAATGTATATGTATGTTCATTTTACAGAATCAGAAAAGTAACATAGATTGAGCATCCCTAATCCAAAAATCCAAAGTGCTCTACAATCCAAAACTTTGAACACCAACATGATGCCGCAAGTGGAAAATTCCACACTTGTGTTAGTCTGTTTAGTGTTGCTATAACGAAATACCTGAGACTAGGTAATTTATAAAGAAAAGAGGTTTATTTGGCTCACAATTCTGGTAGCCAGAAAGTTCAGGATTGGGCAGCTGAATCTGATGAGGGCCCTAGGCTGTTTGCACTCATGTTGGAAAGTAGAAGGGGAGCAAGCTATGCAGAGAAATCACATGGTGAGACAGGATGCAGTAGAGTGAAAATGAGGAAGTCAGGGTCTTTAACAGCTTGCTCTCTCAGGAATCCATTCACCACTTATAGAATGGCACCAAGCTATTCATGAAGGATCTTCCCCCATGACCCAAACACCTCCCATTGAGCCTCACCTCCGAACACCACCACATTGGGGATCAAATTTCAACATGAGATTTAGTGGGGACAAATAAACCATATCAAACCATAGCAACATCTGACCTCATACGATGGGTTGCAGTCAAAACACTGTTTCACAGGTGGGCACAGTGGCTCAAGTCTGTAATCCCAGAACTTTGGGAGGCCAAGGTGGGTGGATCACTTGAAGTCAGGAGTTCGAGACCAGCTGGCCAACATGGTAAAACCCCATCTCTACTAAACATACTAGGCATGGTGGCCCATGCCTGTAATCCCAGCTACTCGGGGGGTTGAGGCAGGAGAATTATTTGAGCGAGCCAAGATTGCACCACTGCAGTCCACCCTGGGTGACTCCATCTCAAAAAAAAAAAAACTTTGTTTCAGGCACAAAATTATTTTAAAATATTGAATTAAGTTACCTTCAGGCTGTGTGTATAATGTATATATGAAACATAAATGAATTTTATATTTAGACTTGAGTCCCATCCCCAAGATATCTCATTATATATATACAAATATTCCAAAATCTGAAAAAAAGTCCAAAATTCCAAACACATCTGGTTCCAAGCATTTCAGATAAGGGATACTCAACCTGTAGTATCTTCAAAACTAACCTTAAAAATAGTACATCACTTTTTTAATCACTTGATGTACAGTATTTCATTTGATCCTTGAGCCCATTCGTGCATATTTTTAAATAGACAGTGCGGATAATACAGCCAAAAACCTGAGAGCCAGAGAGTTTAAATGCCTTACTGAAAGTTAGCTAGTAATTCCATGACAGAGCTAGGAGTAGAGTTCTCCATTACTTTTTCCATGGCTTCCTGTGCCTGCATGTGGAAGGAACCTGAGGTGCTGAGAACAGGCATTTCTAAATCTGTAGGAGACCAGACTTGCAGATACCAAATTTCTCATTCACTATTCTAGTTACTGGCCACAGCCTCTGAGATCATGTAGAAAATACTGAAAAAAATAATTATTCTGATGTCACATTATTCCCCTATTTCCCCCATTTGTGTTAATTAAGAAAATAAGTTTATCTTTGTTGGTTATTTTATAGATGTATGTGTTTCTTTAATTTTGTAAAGTATAATTTTTAGTACTTTTGTAGGCTGGGCACAATGGCTCACACCTGTAATCCCAGCACTTTATGTGGCCAAGGCTGGTGGATCACTTGATTGCAGGAGTTTGAGACCAACCTGGGCAACGTAGCGAAACCCCATTTCTACAAAGAATACAAAATTTAGCGTGGTGTGGTGGTGTGTACCTATAATCCCAGCTATTCAGGAGGCTAAGATGGGAGGTTCACCTGAGTTCAGGAGGGCAGGGCTGCAGTAAGCCTAGGTTGTGCCACTGCACTCCAGACTGGGCAACAGAGTGAGACCCTGCCTCAAAAAAAAAAAAAAAAATTAGTAGTTTTTATCTTCATTTGTGATAAGCCACAAACAAGAACTATTTAGAAATTAAAGCTCTATAATTTTTATTAACCTAAACCCTTTATTTTCTATTTACTTTAGGAATCATGTGGATCCTCTCAGCTCCATGAAAATAGTGGTTCTCATGAAACTTCAAGGTCCCTGCCAGTTCCTCAAGACAATGATTTTTTATCTAGTATGTAAATTTTCCAATCATTATTTACTTGCAAGTCTTCCATTTTCTTTCAAGATCATATTTCTGGCAAGCAGTCATGATTTCTATGGAACTTTAATTTGCATTTATAACTCATGTTTTAAAGTGACAGAGTCTAAAGATATGAAAAAATAGTAGTGTGATATTCAACAAATACATTTAAGTTTTAAGGCATTATGTTTGGCCAGGCGCAGTGGCTCACACCTATAATCCCAGCATGTTGGGTGGCCAAGGTGGGCAGATCACCTGAGGTCAGGAGTTCGAGACCAGCCTGGCTAACATGGTGAAATCCCATCTCTACTAAAAATACAAAAATTAGCCAATCATAGTGGTGGGTACCCATAGTCTCAGCTACTTCGGAGGCTGACACGGAAAGATTGCTTGAACCCGGGAGGGAGGTTGCAGTGAGCCGAGATTGCACCACCGCACTCCATCCTGGGTGACAAAGTAAGACTCTATGTCAAAAAATAAATTTTTAAAAAAAGGCATTATGTTAGACACTGCCAGAAAATGTCCACAAAAAAAATCTCTTATAAGAAAAAGAAGTGTTTCTAAATAACTATTATATGAGATGGAAAGTGATATAAGAGAGACATAGATCTAGAGCTATGGTAGTGTGGGAAGAGTAACACTGTACAAAGGACTTGCACAACAACTTTGTGAGAGAAATGTCCTCATTTTACAGATTTAAGGACTCTGGATCACATAGCTAGTAGCTGGCACATCTCAGACTTTTGATAAATATTATCGTGTCACTCTACTGTACCATGTTGTCATCATGAAATTATTTCTGGCTGAAGGCTGGATCTGTAATAACAAAGGATAGGCATTCCAGGGAAAAGGAACAACATACAGGTACAGAAGCAAGAACATACAGAGAACAGTGAGTAATTTGGTTTAGCTAGTAAAGAAGATGAATGAAAGAAGATAAAAGCTAAGTAGATTGGAGTCATATCATCAGGAATTCTAACCTTCAGCTAAACTATTTGGACTTTTTTACTTGAGTAGGAAGCAACTATTGCAATTTTTTGAGCAAGGCAGTGACATAAAATTTTTTACTTTGGGAAGATTCATTCTGGCTGGAATGTGTAGGATATTTTGAAAGGAAAAGGAAACTTGAGATGGCGAGATCAGTTAGGAGACTATTACTGTAGTACCCATGAGAGATTATTAAGAACTGATATAGAGTGAAAGAAAGGAGGGGTGGTATATGAGATGTTATAGACAACTAGATGATAGGACTTTATAACTTTTCACTTATAGGAGCGATGAGAGAAAAAAGCGGTAAAGCCAAATAAATTGTTAAGCCTAGGGACTGGGAGAATGTTGGTGCCATTAAAAGAAATAGAAGTTAAAACAGGTTGCGTGCGGTGGCTCACACATGTAATCCCAGAATTTTGCAAGGCCAAGGTGGGCAAATCACTTGAGGCCAAGAGTTCAAGACCAGCCTGGCCAACATGGCAAAACCCCATCTCTACTAAAAATACAAAAAAATTAGTGGGTATGATGGTGCACACCTGTAATCCCAGCTCCTCGGGAGGCTGAGGCACAAGAAACGCTTGAACCCAGGAGGCAGGGGTTGCAGTGAGCTGAGATTGCGCCACTGCCCTCCAGCCTGAGTGACAGAGCAAGACTCTGTCTCAATTAAAAAAAAAGAAGAAGAAGAAGTTAAAACAAGTTTTAGAGTTAAGAAACATTACACTTTCAATGTTTTTTGTTTTTTGTTTTTAATTTGAGGTACTAGGAGCACACAAAGGGTTGATGTCCAGAGGGCTTTTGAAAATATAAGATTAAGGTTCACGGCTGGGTGTGTTGGCTCACAACTGTAATCCTAGAACTTTGGTAGGCTGAGACGAGCGGATCACCTGAGGTCAGGAGTTCGAGACCAGCCTGGCCAACATGGTGAAATCCCATCTCTACTAAAAATACAGAAATTAGCCAGTTGTGGTAGCATGGAACTGTAATCCCAGCTACTTGAGAGGCTGAGGCAGGAGAATCTCTTGAACCTGGGAGGTGGAGATTGCAGTGAGCTGAGATCGCAACCATTGCACTCCAGCCTGGGTGACAAACTCCAAAAAATAAAAAAGGGGGGGGAGGGAGGGAGGGAAGAGGAAGGAGGGAGGGAGGGAGGGAGGGAGGGAGGGAGGGTAGGAAGGGAGGGAGGAAGGAAGGAAAAGAAAGAATATATAAGGCAAAAGTTCAGTGAAGACAGAAAGTGTAATTGTGTGGATTGGGGAATAGAGGGGATGATTAAGTCCCTGAGGCTGAGTGGGATTCCCAGAGGAGAAAGTAGAAAGACAGACATCGTATATAGATTTAGAGAACATACTTAAACTTCAGAAGGAGTAAGAAGACACAGGAAAAATATGGGACTATGTGAAGAAGTAAAATTCTATGATTTATAATTTACATAGGACAGACAATTGCTGACAGAAATTGTAGTGAAAGCATTCCATATAAACCCTTTTTTGCTTTAAGAAATATCTACTTGCAGAATTAGGTTTCTGAACTAGCCTTAATATTAGTGGAAACTAAAGACATTGGAGCCTACCTTCTGTCTGCTCAGATGTTGACATGTTAGCCAATAGGAACTTCCAAGGCGTATTCCACCTCTAATGAAGATGTTGTATTTTGTAGGAAAAACTCAACACTGTTCTTTTATGATGCTGCATCGCTGTCCTGGAAATCACAGTTGGGATAGCACCATTTCTGCGTCTCAAAGGGCTGCATTCTGTGATCACAAGACCACTCCATGCTCTTCAGCAATAATAAATCCACTCTCAACTGCAGGAAACTCAGGTAAATATTTACTGTGAAACACCTTGTAAGTGATGCCATTTAGCTTACATATTTATGTTCAGTGGGTTTACCATACAGTGAGATTTATTTGTCTTTATTTCCTCAATATGATAAATACGTACCTTCTTAAGTAGGAAAACAAGTCCCAGGAGATGGGAATGATGACATGGCCCAAATGGTGTTCTGTGAACATCTAAATAGGGAGGCAGTACTAAGAGGAAGTATTAACATATTACTAATTAACAAATTTGCAGGTATCTTTTATATTTGAAACAAAATGGACATTAAACAAAACTGAACAAATCCTAGAAGATGGGAATGACGACATAAAGTGGTTTTGCCCCATGATTTATACCATATAAAAAGGCAGTGCCTTTTCTGGGGAGTGAGGGGGAGATAGCCCAAATCTCTGAGTGTTTCCTGAAAAATGATAGCATTCCCCCAAATACTGGTGTTCCATATTGGCACAATCATAGGAAAATTAGGTTTTATGCTTTATTGATTTTTCATGGAATTTTACTTATTGCTATGTATCTGTCCTCACCTTTTAAATATTCATTCCTTGCTCTTTTTCAGAACGTCTGCAGCCTGGTATAGCCCAGCAGTGGATCCAGAGCAAAAGGGAAGACATTGTGAACCAAATGACAGAAGCCTGCCTTAACCAGTCGCTAGATGCCCTTCTGTCCAGGGACTTGATCATGAAAGAGGACTATGAACTTATTAGTACCAAGCCTACAAGGACCTCAAAAGTCAGACAATTACTAGACACTACTGACATCCAAGGAGAAGAATTTGCCAAAGTTATAGTTCAAAAGTTGAAAGATAATAAACAAATGGGTCTTCAGCCTTACCCGGAAATACTTGTGGTTTCTAGATCACCATCTTTAAATTTACTTCAAAATAAAAGCGTGTAAGTGACTGTTTTTCAAGAAGAAAAGTCGTTTTATAAAAGGATATTTATATCTCTGTTGCTTTGACTTTTTTTTAAATATAAAATCCGTGAGTATTAAAAGCTTTATTGAAGGTTCTTCTTTGGGTAAATATTAGTCTCCCTCCATGACACTGCAGTATTTTTTATTAATTAATACAAGTAAAAAGTTTGAATTTTGCTACATAGTTCAATTTTTTATGTCTCCTGTTAACAGAAACCACTTTTAAAGGGTAATAATTATTATTCTTGTTCATAACAGTACCTTAAGGTATGATGTATTTCTGATAGAAGCCATTTTCACAATCATGTTCTTCGTGGATTATTTGTTACTCGTCTAAGATGCAATTTGATTTTATGAAGTATATACTGTTTTACCCACCAGAAACAGTACAGAATCTCTGCCCTAAAATCCCAGGCTTAATTGCTCTACAAAGGCTTATGAATTTAAAACTCCATTAATAGGATTACATTTTAAAGTTTTATTTATAAATTCCCTTTAAAAAAGATATTTCAAAGGTAAAACAATACAATATAAAGAAAAAATAAATATATTAATACCGGCTGTCTGTCTCCATTTTTAACCTCAGCCTTCCCTACTGTCACCAACAACCAAGCTAAATAAAGTTAACAGCCTGATGTTTATCCTTCTGTCCCTTTCTTCCTTATATTTAGAACATATGCTCATTTGGGAAAGGATCTTTTCTGCATATTATTATTATAATAATACATCATACTGCAACCTGCTTTTTGCATTTAATAGTACAGCCTTCCAGATCAGATATGGCTCTAACTTACTCTTTTTACTTGCTGCCTAATACCCACACTGTTTTTATTTTCTTAACTTGTCCGTATCAAATTTAGCCCAGACAATAAAAGTACAGTGTGAGCACTTTTTTGGTTAATGGGTTATATTACTATATGAGAACTTACAAGGAATAATAGCCGTTATCTGAAACCGCATAGCAAAGTCAGCAGAAAGTGAGATACAGAGTAAATTTGAAAAGATGAACTTTCAAGAAGCAACAGACCCAAACCTGAAAAAAGTTTGAATAAAAGAAATTAGATGGCATTGAGGCAATTAAATATTTTATTAGAAATATAAGTATTTTAATCTACATTTTAGTGCTTGACATTAACTTGTAGCTCTTACTGTGCCTTTCAGAAATATGGAAATCTATTAATTTCCATATTTGGAAATTAAATGAAAACTGAACACATGAGTTATCTATTAAATTTTAAAAAGCATTAAGATACAAATTTTATTTGTTAAAGTAAAAAATAGAGAAAAAAATTCTTTTAGAAGCTTTCCCTTTTCTCTATACATACTCTAAAAAGAAATTATTTTGAATATCGATGGCCTCAAATTGACTTTTATACTGATTTCATGAGGTATATCTGGATTGATAAAATGAACTTTGCCCTGTTTTTTATTCTCTGCAAAGATCTAAAAACTCATAGTCTGTGTGCTTTATGGCTATGTGCTTACAGCCACTTTCTCCCACACTTTACTGTATGGAAGACACACGTGTAGTCATCCATCATCATAGCTATGCAAACTTTTTCTGCATAAATAATAACATGTTAATAAGAAGATGTCAGGGATTAAGATGAATCTGCAATGAGCTCTCATCATCTCTTCATGGGATTGTTACAATCTCAGCAGTTGGTTTTTATTATAACCCCTATTTAGTAACTGCTACTTAGGGGAAGATGAGACAGATGATGCTGAGTATGACTAGTTAGTGTACAACAGGGTCTGGCATAGAGTAGGCACTTTCTGAATAACTCTTTAATGAATAGTGTAATGGAATGAAAAAATAGAGAAGGGGAGATGTTTCCTTTAAATCTTATTTCCCAAAATGTAGTGCAAGCACAGCTAGTAGTAAGTGGGATTATTTTAGGTCATATGTAGGCTTACCACAAAATGGCATCTGAGTCACTTAGTAAAGGACATTCTTTTCCATTCTTTTTTGAGCCTTATAATTAAATAAAGGAGAATATCTCAATTTTTGTGCTAACATCTTTTTATCCCTCTTGTTAACAAAATGAGAATAGGCTTTAGGCTCAGAACTTCAGAAACAATATTAGCAAGAATTTTATGGGTTTTTTATTACATTCTATTTGAAATTTATACTTCTACATATGACAAGTAATAGTTTTCTGTTTTTACTAAAGTTTTATTTCATAATATTTAAATAAAGACAATTTAAGTACTATTAAGTAAATTATAATGCAGATAGGACGTGAATGTGCCAACAATCATAGAAGTAGTAAGAAAATGACAGATTAAAATTCAGTCGCTCCAGGAAGGGACCTAGTAATTTATTTTTTAACTAGCTAGTATTAGATAATGCTAGAGGTGTCATTCCTTGCAGTGGATTTTAAGACAGTGCTACCCAGAAGTACAGTCCACAGACTGGCTACATTTAGCATCACCTGTAGCATGTTAGAAATGAAACTTCATGACTCCTATCTCAGACCGACTGAATCAATCTCTGGGGGTAAGGTCTAGGAATCTGTTTTAACAAACTCTCCAAGCGATTTTTACTCATGGTAAAGTTGAAGACCCTTTATTTTAAGAAATACTATAGATTTGTACATAAAATAATTTCTCTCTAGGTTCACAGATGTGTTTTCATGAAGTCTGATAGCCACATGCCTTCAGAATGTACACGCTGAGATGATGTTTGATTACAAAATTTTACTTTTGTTTTGCATCCAATTTGAATTCCCAAAACAATTTTAACATGCTTTGAATTCTGGAAAGATAGCTTCACTTAAACATGAAAATCATGGCCAAGCGCGGTGGCTCACGCCTGCAATCCCAGCACTTTGGGAGGCGGAGGCGGATGGATCACAAGGTCGGGAGATCGAGACCACGCTGACAAACACGGTGAAACCCCGTCTCTACTAAAAAATACAAAAAATTAGCCGGGCATGGTGGCGGGCGCCTGTAGTCCCAGTTACTTGGGAGGCTGAGGCAGGAGAATGGCGTGAACCCGGGAGGCGGAGCTTGCAGTGAGCCAAGATCACGCCACTGCACTCCAGCCTGGGCAACAGAGCGAGACTCCGTCTCAAAAAAACAAAAACAAACACAAAAAAAACCCATGAAAATCAGATCACTATATTCGAATCTACAACTCAGTTCTTTAGGGAAGAACTTCAGAAGGGGCAAATGCTTGAATTATGACAGCAGTGGAGCTGAGCTGATATAAGAGGATCAATACAAGAAGCGAGACTAAATTATGCTGAAAGTCATACTAAAGAAATTTGCGTAACTATCAAAGATTTGGATGTTGCAGCAGTTGTGTCAAGCCGTGGGGGCTGTTTTTTATTTCTCTCTACCATTAATCTGCCTACCCTCAGCCCCTTCAAATACTTAATTTATGAAGAAAAAAAATATGGCCAACTGGGAGAGAAGGAAAATCAGTAAACGTTCATATTTAGCCATTCTCACAAACATGTTTCGGCCAGGCGCGGTGGCTCACGCCTGCAATCTAAGCACTTTGGGAGGCCGAGGCGGGTGGATCACCTGAGGGCAGGAATTCAAGACCAGCCTGGCCAACATGGCGAAACCCCGTCTCTACTAAAAATACAAAAATTAGCTGGCAGAGGCCTGTAATCCCAGCTACTTGGGAGACTGAGGAAGGACAATCACTTGAACCTCAGAGGCAGAGGTTGCAGTGAGCTGTGATCGCACCATTGCACTCTAGCCTAGGAGACAAGCGAAATTCCATCTCAATAACAACAACAAAAAAAGTAATGTGTTTCTTCAAAATTGTGCCTCCCATCTCCCACACAGCCTAGTTCTCAAATTACCTGTTGCTTTTTCTCTCTCCACTGGATCATTTCTTTTCAAACACCCAGATTTCCTTTAAAAACAAAATTTCTTTACTTAACCTATCTATCCTTTTTCATTCTTTTCAAGGAGTTTATTCTACACGACCTCTATTTTGTTACCTATTTCTTTGTTTAAAATTTGATGTCATGTAATTAACGAATGGGTTGAAAGGAACAAGTGTGCATCTGATGCTTCAAAATCCTCTACCCGAAAGATGTTAATAGACGTTTATCTCATGAGTAAACACTTCCATACATAAAGGGGGAAGCTTATTAGTACTATCCATACTTTTTTTTTTTTTTTTTTTGAGATAGAGTCTCACTCTGTACCGTGTGTGCTGAATATATGGGTTCATCCAGTTCATATCTGACTCTGCCCCCTCAGATTCAGCTCGATTTTCGCTCTGCCTCCGAGTACTGGGTTTCAAGGGCCTTCACCACCTCGTAATTGTTTTGGTAGAACGTGTTTCTATCTCATCCTGGCCATGCCTCTTGAAACTCGTGGACCATCGTGATCCACCTTGGCCTCAATTCTCAAGTGTCTGGTTATTACATGGTGTGAGAGCCCACCGCGCCTGCATGTTTTCCATACATTCATACCACTGATTAAAAATTGGTTCAGCCGGCACGTGCCACGCCTGTGATCCTAGACGTTTGGAGATGGCTCGAAGTGGTGTTGATTTCACGGGGTTTTAGGAGGTTCTGAGATATCTGCCGTACATGGTATCCTGTGTACCAAAAATTACAAAAATTAGTCCGTCCTTGGTGGCATGGTGCCGTGTAGGTCCGCGTACTCAGTGAGGCTGGACGGCAGCAGTTATGAGTATTTGTGGAGGGAGAGGTTGCCATTGGTCGAACGCTGCCCTGCACTCCGTGGGGAGAGGCAGCGCAAGATATCCTCAATAAAATAAATTATGTATAAGTATTAAATATTAACTAAAAAGTGATTCCCGTGTTAGGTTATTAGTATAATATCTCGTCTCTGATTGCCATGACCTTTGGATGGTCTTGTGTATAGTACGGTGAAGATCTAATCCATGCTCCTATCCGGGCAGATGATCGCGTGCTAATGGTTTTTGTATTTAATGTCGTTGCATAGGAAGTTGGTCTTTTATTCTGGTGGATTTTTTTTTTTTCTGCTTCAAAAGTTTTTCCGCTCTCACTCGTCGCCTGAGTGAGAATGAGTAGCGATGGCTCCTCTACTGGAGCCTTCAGTCGACCTCAAAGTCATAGAGCTCATGTGCCCTCGCGCGCCTCACACAACAAGCTCGGCAGGTGCTTTTACCTAAGTCAGGTCTTGCCAGCAGTTAGGGAATAGTGCCTCCTGTGTATGTAGCGCCTTGAATGATTGGAGATCATGGACTTAGTTTTAGTAATCTCAGTAGTAACTAGTGTGAGTGTATTGTCAATGAATTAATATTTACACTACCAGCTAAGACCAAATTCGTTCTCGTGACAGCCTGTGTTGGTTTTGCCTTATTTTCTCCCTTTTCAAAGAGGTAAATTGAATTTTTAGGCTATATATACAATTTGTTTTATCTCTTTTTTTTTTTTTTTTTGTTTGAGATGGAGTCTCGCTCTGTTCACCAGGGTGGGAGTGCAGGTGGCACACGTGGAGTCTTCCAGTTACAGCTGCCAACTCGCGCGCCATACCGCGCTGCGGTTCAAGCGATTCTCCTGCTCAGGCCTACCCAAGTAGCGTCCGTTATCATTACAGAGGTGCCCCACGGTCCAGAGCTGCATTTTGCATATTTTTAGATAGAGAT